TATTAATTTTACATATTTATCTAAAAATGAAAGTTTATATTTTAGAGCTTTTGTTAATAATACGTAGAATCAAATTTATATATTCAATATATATATATAGAATATATAGAATGCAAAGAATAAAGTTCTATAACATACAATGCTTTATATATGTATAATAATAATAATTTAGTAAATAACACACTGGGAAAAAGTTAAAAGACGAAAATTGTGATAACACAGCAGCGTAATACCTTCAAAAAGATAAAAATGTATTGTCGGGAAATAACAAGAAAAATATAGAAATAGCATATTATATAATGTATGCAAAAACAGCATTGTGGAGAATAAAGGATGCATGTGGATATGGATGAAGATGAACATGAAAATCCTATAAACATTGTGTGCATATACAATCTATTATATGTATAAAACATAATCGCACAGCATATAATCAATATCGTACAATTCAATATGTCGCCATTATATCGAAATAACAACAGCGTCGACACCATTATATAATAATTTTCGCGTTCGTTCCATGTATCATGTTACATGTGTAACTATGATACATATCTTATCCATAAATATATATTGAGATCCCACCTGTATAATGTTAAAACTTCCCTCGCGCTTCTCAAATAATTGCCAAATTCATCCTTCAAAAGCAACAAATCATAATATGAATCGTTTAGTTTCAAAATAGTGTAAGTCTAACTGCAATAATTTTTTCCAAAATCGATACATGTATATATTTTACTAATCCATAAAATATCAAAAATAACTCACACGTCAGCTTTGAAAATAAGCGTCTCATATATTCGATATTGCACATGTATTTCGACATATCGCATATAAATATTTTTTCTTACAGCTTCGTAGAAAATTTACGATGTAAAATCCTATGAAAAGAAGGGACATTAAAAGATATAAAAATTCGCGCGCACTAAATATCACATTATATACAGCTGTCTGTCTTTCTGCGAGGGACTAGCTTAATTCCATTTCGCGTTGACGAGACTGTCAGCGAATTACAATTACATGTATCGTATTGCACAGATGCAGCTGTTATATACGCCTATACGCGTGCTAGTGCAGGTTACATTATGCAGTATGTAGAAAAATAAAATTGCCATGTGTCGTTTTTCATTATCTGTCTTGTGCTGTCTTTCTTTTTCTCTCTTTCTTTTCCATATTTTCTTCTTTTCACTTTGTGCATATAAATATTAATATGATACAGGGTGTTCCAAATTTAATATTGTATTTATATTTAATTTAATATTATTTTAATATTTTATTTTATTCGTTTATTATCTGTTCGTTTTCAATCTATTGCATAAATGTAAGCTTCACTTGCACCGCACAAGAATTATCAGAACAAATCGAAGTTAATTACCTATATATATACAATTTTATACAGATGTTTTAAAAGATAAAAAGGACTAACACACATATACAACAAGAGAATTTGCGAGTATAACCAAAATCTCATCGTGCTTTTTCGATCCTATTGCAATCACTAATTAATAAATAAGGAGCGTAACAATATATGTATGTGTATGTGCGTATGAAATAATATTTATTTTATAAGAAAAAAAAATTATTATACATATATATATATATATCTCTCTCCATATAAGATACATAAAAAATAGAAAAAAATAAACATAAGTGAAGTATCACTAATCACAGCATACGCTAAAACAAAGTTTTAAAACTTTTTTATGTTAATCTAATTATTATTATATTTATCAATTTATTATAATTATCAATAATCATTATTCTTCCCATGTTTTGACCCATTTTATGTAAATCTGATTCATGTAAATATTATTTCTCTATCCTTACCCGTATCTTATGATTCTAAGCCTGATCGGTCAGGACAAATAATGAAAATCTTTAAAACCGATGCAATACATCAATAAAAGTTTTAAATAAATTTCTTTTCGCGTTTGTATTTTACGTCTTTTTTAATGAATGTTTCACAATCTATTACACATATATCTTTATCCTCAGTGTGCGATTCAAACGTATATTTCAGTGCATTTAACCGACTATACTTCGCTGTAATATTGTTTATTTTTCTATTTCTTATATTATATGTATGTCTACACATGTACAAGAATAATTTTCTTCGTACATGTATAAGAATATGTTATTAATTCAGTTATGCTCCTCACCGTACGTTGATCTTTCATATGTTTCCTCTCTGTATGCAATGAAGAAATGAACTCTCTGCTCCATCCTCTTTACAAGAGAACTCACGTTTCCTCCCAATATTTTCCCTAACAATGAGAGATCAGTAAGTTCGACTTCTTTTATTTTTACATTCGCCGCGCAATCTTATATCATCTATGCGGACAATAAGGAACATGTGGAAACAGATGACAGTGAATGGATTTGAATCTGGAACAAAAAAAGTATAGTTATGTGTTAAGCTATTTCTTAATAACATGATTCAAAATCGGAAATATGTGACAGAATCAAAGTTAACAATTTTGATGCAGAAACATACTTAATAATATACGTTTGCATTGATATTTTTAGAAATAAAATCTAGATATTTTTTGCGTTAATAAACGTAGATAATTCTCGATATACTGAAGAAAAAGAATCAATGAATGTCGCACGCACCAGATATTTCATATATTCTACGAAAGAAAATTTTAATGCAAAATGCAGCTCCATCTTCAAATTGGAAATTTTTCGCATAAATCCAACAGACTACGACAAATGTCGCTTGCAAATATGATCAATAAAATCTGTGGAAACAGATGACAGTGAATGGATTTGAATCTGGAACAAAAAAAGTATAGTTATGTGTTAAGCTATTTCTTAATAACATGATTCAAAATCGGAAATATGTGACAGAATCAAAGTTAACAATTTTGATGCAGAAACATACTTAATAATATACGTTTGCATTGATATTTTTAGAAATAAAATCTAGATATTTTTTGCGTTAATAAACGTAGATAATTCTCGATATACTGAAGAAAAAGAATCAATGAATGTCGCACGCACCAGATATTTCATATATTCTACGAAAGAAAATTTTAATGTAAAATGCAGCTCCACCTTCAAATTGGAAAAATTTTTCGCATAAATCCAACAGACTACGACAAATGTCGCTTGCAAATATGATCAATAAAATCAATGTGGCGCGCAAAAACTTATGTAATATAAACTTTTAATAAAACATCATTCATGAAAAGCAGCAAAAGAAAGAAAAACTCGATTTAATATCCATAACGTGCCGTCTCGATACACATAAGCCGTTGAATTAACTTAACAAGTAGCGACTTGGCTCTGATATTTCTCTCGTTAATATTAAAAAACGCAAAACTTTGCTTCTCCCTCAGAATACTGAATAAAGAATCTCGGAAGATATTCGCGGCGAGCGGCGCGAAAACTTACGTTAATAGAATACAAGCCATTTTTTCTGACTTGATGGAAACAAAAAGCAGAAACAGTGGAAGGAAGAGAGGCTCGTAAAAATCGCAATTATTATGAAGTCAATTAAAACTTACAATATCACACTGCAATGTCGTCCTCGTAATTACTCATCTCTCTTCCGTCTTTCACCAGTGCCAATTAAACGAAAAAAAAAACGTCACGAAAGACATTTCGCGCATATGCATTAATGAGAACGCTAATTACAGATGTTTACACTTAACGTCACGTAAATTACATATGTCGTTTCACAAAATGTTGTTTTATACTCGCGCGTAAATGTGGAATTATTAAAGATGAAGAGAAACGAATTATATTAATCTATTATTCGAATGCTTCTCAAAAGATACACATCAACCGTACAAATAATTTAGAATATAATTTTTTGTGCACTATGAATATCTAGAGAGAAGAGAGAGAGAGAAAGAGAGAGAGAGAGAGAAGTACTTTTCTCTTAATTTTTTTAACGAGGGTTATTTTATATTATAAACATCTAAAAAGGGCATTTCAATAATTTCCTTAATCTGTACACCCTCTTAATTAATTAATCGCTCATGAGATATATAATATCTCGAATAAAGATATAATTTCTTTTCAATTGAGCAATGTGTAGACGTACAGAAAAAATGTTACGAGACACACGCAAAATAAATGTCACGATGTTTTGCAATATTATATAACTTTCTTATAAAAACTACTCTTTAATTCAGTTATTTCTCTTAAAGAATTCTTTACGGTGTCTAACCGACATTCTACGCGAGCACTCTAGGTGAAGGTGGCAATTATAGAAGTAATTGAGGTTTTGATGTGCAATGTTGCGTCAGGGAAGAAGAGACTCAAAGAAACAGGAAATTGAAAATTGCAGACAGAACTTCTCACGTTCTGCCACAAAAATGATTCAATTTAAATGTGCATTTTTGCAAAAACTAGCGCTGTTCGAAATTCACGAATAAATCGATTGAATACTAAAGGCAAAAAATATTCTCATACATATAGAACAATGTCCAAAATAAAAAAATAAAGAAGTAAAATAAATATATAAAGCAATGCTGTACCTCTTTGGGTCATTCTTCATGTCAAAACCATCAATCTTCAGGATATTCCATTCATCTCTAGGTCCCTTAGAATAACTAAAAGAAACCTGGAACACAAAAGACAAAAAAAATATTTTAATTCGCCAAAGATCTTTAATTTCTCCAGCAAAGGATTCTTATATATCAGAAACCGAGTGACATACGATGTCAAAAGTGACTTCATTTATTTTGACGTATCGCGTATATGTATACGTATGTGTGCACGTTTATTCGCATATTCTGCGAAATCTGAGATCCTAAAAAAGCATAATACCGGTCGTGAAAGAAAATACTTTTTATGCTAACATTTTGCATACGTCACGCATGTTCTTGCCGGCTATGCGATCGCTCACATATTATATTGTAATTTGATCTTGACGCATATATTACAACGTATTGACGAACAATTTATAAATAATTCACAAATTCTTTATTGTAAAATTTAAGAGTCAAATAATAATTTTAATATATCAAGATGCGATACACGTCGAGATTATTTTATTAGAAAAATCAAAGAAATTTTTATTCTCATCTGATATTAAGTAATTTAATTATGTGTGATAAAAATGTTTTTATCAATTTTTAGATATTAAACATGTTAATCAGACTTTCTATTTTTTTTGTCAAAAAAGTATTTACGCATATATGTGTATGTAATACTGGCCCAAAGAAGAATAGAAATGTATATGAGGCAATTTAGTTAATTCTTGTCGACGACAGGACATGTATTTTCATACGCTTGCGATTGCTCCTATTACGCGATATATAGTCTGAGAACTTATAATAAACGGAAACTATACGATTAAATAATGGCTATTACGTTACATAAAATAAAACAGACAATGCACTCGCTGCGCGTCGTCTGATTCATCGTGCGCGTCAAATCATTCCATTATCCATCCATTATTTATCATCATGCTATTTATCGTGACCCTTATGTACCCAGAATACGTCGCGTGCATTAATTTTGGCTACTTATATCTTGTATTATAATGGCAGAGATTTTTGCGCGTAATATCGTTGAAACAAAGCTCTCTTAATCTAAGGGATTAGAGTTGCAAAAGTTCGCAAACGTTAAGGAATATTACTCATCACTAATAAATAATCCGATATACACTGTTCTCTTGCCAATAACAAAGTAAAAAAAGAAGTTCGTTTAAATTAAACAACAATTACACAATAATCTGTATTAATCGTCCGCACGCTCCGCCTTTAAGAACTTATAAACTTTCAAATTCTACTAATGCCTTTACACGTAAATTATCAAATATTTATAGAATTTAGTTTGTCCTACGTAATTAGATTTTTTATGAAAAGAGATAATATCACTTTTCGCTCGAAATAGATTTTAAAGAACGATAACATGATATGTTGCTTAGTTACCTGCTCTTGAAAGGTATCCTTGTTCAGGAACTTCATTGGCTCCAGGTGCGAGTGGAATTGTTCTACGACTGTGAGTTGCTTTTTCAGGAGATATTCGATAATGTAACCCATCGTTACATCGTCTGGCAATCTGATTCTGTCGCCGACGGTGATGAATTTTCCTCCGCTGAAAACAAAAGTAAATATCAAATTTATTATTTGCGTATATATGTACATTCATTTGAATAAAATATATATTATGTGGGATTTTTAAATGGATATATTATAATAAAAATGAAATTTGTTATAATTAATGGAATCCTTCAAAAATCCTGTACTTCTGCATCTCTTTCAAAAATTTTCCTAAAATTTTATTTGCTACAAATTTCCAGTAAAAAAAAATGTTCAAATTGTAGCAATTACTACACTTGGAAGCGAAATGCTCGAAAAAGAAGTAGTCCATGTAAACACTCTCTCTAATGGAACCGACAGTTTCTTTCTTTCTTTTCTCTTTTTCTTTGATTCAGTCACGCCTTTATATCCATCGTATTTACACTCAAAAAAGTGGTTTTGCAACTACAGCAAAAATTTTCTGGGTGCGCAAAATTAACTGAGGTACATAAATGATTAGCAAATACTGTGATATCGCATATGTTTCGCATTTAATCAATCTAAGTGACAGAGACAGAATTTATATCTGAACTGTTTGTGAAATTTAGAAAGAATGTTTTTCTGTGGCGCCTATCCATGTTAAGGCCAATCATACTTGTTATAAAGTTTGACTGTGGTACACAGAAAAAATTAGCGACAAGAAACAAATGAATATATAATCCTCACATATAACATATTTGTATAATGCGCCCAATCTATCTAGCTCTTTTAAACAATTTCTCTCAATTTTTCGATGCTGCAGTTATAATTGGCAGTTATATTTCTCACAAAGATCGTTCTAGCTGTAGTATCGAAACTCATATTTATCCAATGCAGTGATTAACATTTGGCAATGGGACCTAAATTTTCTAGAAGATATTATTAGAATATTGCTGCTATAAATTCTATATGTAACAGACAATATTCTAACAGATACAAAAAATAGCGATAAATTTTTGTTGTGACACCTAGAAATCTACCTATATCAGCAAGACATTTTTTTTAGTGTAATCCGACGTGGATATAGGGTTATCTCCCTTGTGTAACGCTTTTAGCTTTCTTTGCTCTCTTTCAATCCTGTCAACATATACAGTAGACTGCGTCCATCGCTTGAAATACTATGTACAAGAATTGTCCGGTGTTTATTATTTTCTTTTGTTGAGTATCCATGAAAGTAAAATAAAGAGAAATGGAGTGAAAGAGAACAGAGTAGAATTTATGTTTTAAAAATGACCTTTTGAAAACATATGTATTTGGTACGAATATAGTTCAAGATGTATTAAAAACAAATATGATGTAATTAACAATTCTACAAGAACTTTGTAAATTACATATATGTCTAAAATTATTATTATATTATTATATATATGCAAAATATGATATATACGAGTATTTTATGCAATAAATAATTTATAAATAGTTATGTACAGGTTTCAAGTATATTGCATACATATACTCTTATTAACCCTCATACAAGTTATCTCAAAAACCTATTAAGAAATTTTTTAAAATCAAATTCTTTAGTATTAAATAATTGCTTTTTATGTTTTGTTTTAATATTGTCTCTAAAGAAATATTTATGTAATGATTCTTAAAAGGTCTACGACCGACATCGTGTATAAATTACTAAATACTAAATGCTAAAGATTCAAGCGTCGTAAAACCAATTATAAAATCCTCGCTATCCGACTTTTCTTTTTTTTTTTTCAACGAAATGAGGAACGAATGTAGAAAACGTGATATCATCGAGAGTCGGAATCCGGATTAGAAATCTGATAGTCGCTGTCACAGAAGAAGATAGAAAATCATTAAGCGTCGCCGTTACAAACTTAGTCACTTTGACCGACGATTTTCGTTCAGATATATTGTTAAGATACAGCTCAGCCGGCGCGATAACTGGTACTTTATCGTAACTTCATCCGTATTTATTTTGTAGCAAAGGTCCTTCCCATTTAATTACCTGGTAGAGCGACGAACTTTAATGAGTCTCTTTCAAAATAAACGCAAATACTACAAGTGAAATAAAATACGTAACATTTTTTGTCGCACATTAAATTTTATAGTTCATTTGGTTGCCGATTTTTCTTATTTTGTTCATTGACGGAGTAGGCTATTAAAAAAAATAATGAATTTATTTTAATTAAAACATTTGTAGAGACTGATACGTCTTATGTATATATATGACTTATATATGCAGAAATTTATTTTATATGTAATAGATAAAACACATATAAATATAAAATATATATATGTATATATAGAAACACACACTACTACACACACGTTATTCTAAATCTATTTAAATAAAATTACTGCTATAAATATAATAACTCTTGTATGTAATATACCTTTAAGTTAATTTTAAAAATGCCAATAAAAAAGACCGATAAAAAAGACCGTTTTAAAAAAATAATTGCTTTTTTATCGATCACTATAATTTTCATTATAACATATATTTTCGCAATTAACGTCAAACGAGGGCATAATTAATAATTATTAGCTTAACTAGAAGAGCTGTAAAATAAATATACAACCGCGTGTAATATTTATCGATTATATGGCTCGAATGTTCGGCGTCCATTTATGGGCATCTGTTATACGAAATAATTAACGGCCGCTACGTCAGCGTTGCGCGTATAAAGTAATTAACTCATTCCCAGGCGCCACGCACCTTATGCATCCGCGCGCTCGCAGAAGCAGGACGGTCCGTCTCTCTTCGCTAACCCTTTCGCGACGGTCGTTCATCCGCGCGCGGCGAATTATAGGGGAAAAAAAAAAAAAACGGAGACACGTCACGGAACCACGGGACAGAGTCTCCAGCGGGAATAAATTACCGGCCCTGTATACACCGTCCCGAAAGTCACGCGATGCCGACTAAGGTCCTCGAGTCTTTCGCGTGGCACCGGACACGCATGCGCGATTAAGGTCGGCCGGAAATGCGGCGGCAAAATGCCGCCAATGCGAAAGTCGCTCCTGGGTACAAAGAGGGGTATGCAAGGGGAAAATCGTCGCAAAAAAAATATTGGAAAAAAAAAGGATAGTTAACTAGGTAGACAACATCATAATATGGAATCGCGAAACGAAAGCAATTATGTACTATTTTGATTTCATTTCATAAAATTTCTATAGAGGCACACAATGGATAAAATTTATAATATATATAAATCATACTAAATATACATAATATTATCATAAAATAAATGGCAAGAATAAATGGAAATTAAAGTGATCCATTTCCACATGTTCTGTTTCAATAATTTATATACTTATAATTATTATCTAATATATTTGACCCACTCGGAGAGAGCGCATTTTATTATCTCTCCTTGTTCTTTTGAATGATTATTTTTTAATAGATCTCCGTACTATATTTCATTAGGAATTATATTTTCGCTGTGTACTGAAACAATCTACGAGTCAGACCGTTGATTGTCCGCAGAGAAAAAAACGTTCCATCACCCGTAAATACGCGATAACCGGTAATTCGATCATTCAGCCCCATAAATAACTCGTGTAGTCTTGAGGGATCGATCATCGCGCGTGTGAAACATTAACGTTCATTTCTCACCGTCATACACTTCATTAATCTCGACATTAATCAAAGAGGATGAATGTTAGAGCACGTTTCGCCCGCAAAGTAACGATCGCTTTTCACACAATAACGCGCACGACCGACGGGGATCGTTATTATACAGCCTAACGCGTTTACGATTAAACGTTCTCGCGACTTGTAATCCATGAAGGATAGGACGCAGAGATGATGAGAGAGCTCGCGATTTCGGTGCGCGTGATGCAAATACTTAATTGCCGCATCGCTACGATGACGACGACGACGGTAATGATGATAAACCGCGCAACAAGAAGACCGAGAGACTTTAATTCGGCTGCATTCCACTTATGTAGATTAGGTCGAGTAAAAGAGGCACCTGCTGTTGCACGATCGCTACTGCTTCGAACTGGTTGGCATTAAAGCTACGCTCACATCTATTTAAGCGCGTGCTGCAAAACGACACGCGATATACTTAGCCGATTCGCGGTAATGAATTTCCGCCGATTAGTCCGCTAATCCGCGTTATCGGCTCGATTCGCCGTCATTAATTCAACCATCGAACACCGTCGTCGCATTAAGTAACGACGATAGCGTGGCTATAACCGATCGCGGCAATCACGTGTAGATGCGAACGGGATTCACGCACGATTGATCGCGAAATTATTTTCGGACCGCGGCCGATCGCCACTACCTCATGACGCGAACATGTAATTTCCATTAACGAACGCGGAACCGATTCCCCTAGTAGCTTGTATCGCCGATAACTCTCGTTTAGAATCGCGCGAAACGCTTTTTGATCATCGCTTTAAACTCCCGATAAAATATCAAAGACGAAATCGCGCTTATGCGATAATATATTTATTCGGTTAAGACTGTCCAAGCCTTATGATAGGTGGTCGTAATCTGTCGCCGAGAAGGAGACGTCGAATCGACAGAGATTTCGACAAGCGAGGAGTCGATGGCTGCTGGCTGTGAACGCGAGGCGAGAGATGCGCGATCCACGGCGGACATAAATCGTGCCAATTAGAGGCGACGGCAGGTAGTCACAACTTTGGTGACCAAGCCCATATATATATATCGGCACCTTCGTAAGAGAAGGAGGAAGAGATTGTACCACAGACATGTGAAAGAACACGAACGGACAAATGTCCCAAAGGGGCGCCGCCGGCGCGGTCCGAAGATACACGAAAGGTCCGCGGAATGGGACGCATGTTCGGTATGTTAGACGGTTAAAAAAAAAAAAAAAGAAAGAACTGCGAAAAATCGAGCAACTAAATTAGAACTAAAGATTCTAGTTTATTAGTAAATAAAAATATGACTCTATGTGCAGTCTTAAAATAGGACGAGAACTTTTTCAAAATTTTACAGTTAATCTCAAGATTAACACTCGACAGGTAAAAATGACGTATGGAAATCGCGATGGGTACCATTGGTACGCTATTGAAGTTAATCTTGCTTGAAAATTAGATTTACCCGATTAGTCTCAC